CAACCCAGCTCACCTCACATCTTAATGTCTTTTCAATCCATTTCCTCACTTTCCTTACAAAAAGTCGTCTGGGGTAAAAAATGTGCAGCAGGTAAAGGAACACAAAGGATATCTCCATCCTCACACCACACAGAGTAATCTCCCAGACTTCACAAACAACAAAGAGCTTCCAGTGAAGTCAGTTGGGCATGTCTGATGTGTGGGAAGAAGTGCAGTTAAAGGCCTCCAGTCATGGCTCTCTCTTGCTCACTGAGAGTTGATGTTTCCATGCAATTAGTTCAAAGTGCCTCCACCAGGGCAAAACAACTGAGTGTCAGTTTTTATAGCTCAGTATCCAGTTCTTATAGACCAAAGCTTGAGTGGGAAGAGAGCGCGCTACAAGGCTTTAAGGAGACAGGAACTCAAATTCCCAGAGTGCAGAGTTGTCAAAAAGTGGAAGCCAAAGCTATTTTTTTTGACTCTGTAAAACTTTTCAATCAGAACCTGCTCCTGTTCAGTTTGTTAAGTTTTCATTATCGTCAGTCAACTTTGAATGAAGTCAATGATTGATCATAAAGTCTTTGTAAATTAAATATAAAAACACTGTAAATGGATTTATAATATGAATTATACAGTGCAGCAATTTGTGGTTTCAATATCTCACAATTTCCTCTATCCACTCCCATGCCTGGAATGGATTAACAATCCAATTATGTTTGCCTCTGTGTGTGTGTGTGTGTGTGTGTGTGTGTGTGTGTGTGTGTGTTTTGTGTTTTGTGTTTCTAATTGCAGCAACGCCTGGGTATGTTGAATCTCTTTGTTGTTGCTTTTAACACAACACATATTTGTTTTCTCATGTTACTTACATCAGCGCTGGTACAGTTTGAATGAGTTGGTACATCAAATTACATTTCAACTTTGTACCTTGATGTTATGTTTATTATATTGAAGTATAATATACTGGGATATACAAGGATTTCACAAATAATTCAATCAATCAAAGTTGAATTTTAATATTTTATAGAAAGTCAACATGAACTTATGGCCCAACAAATGGCATCACATGATTCAGATTTTGCTGGCTTCTGATTGGTGCATGGAAGTAGATGAAATCATTGTTTTTTATGAGGCTCTGCTCTTTTCAAAACCAGTGAAATAAACAAAACCGATTCCATCACTGTATATTTGATGACAAAAAAGGGTTTCCATGATTAAGAAAAGACTTTAAGGGTTAACAGCAATGACCTGTTCTACTGCCAGTCCCAGGGGTGTTTGTTTTGATCCCTCTGAGACTGAAAAGCATTGTGAAATGAGTAGCAGTGGCATGCTGGGACATGTTGCATAGGCTGGTTTCATTCACCACCCACTCACCCCTCTCCTCCCACTGGTACACGTTTTGAATGATGACATTTACAGTCAGCACATATGGTTTGGTATCAACAACAACTTATGTTTTATTGATGAAACGATTAACAGGATTTTTTCCCTCTGTTTCCAGGGGTCCATATTATTATGCTAAATAATTCATTGGGTATACTCATGAAAGAAATGCAGACTCAAGTGGATCTAAAACTATTCAGTAACATCTCAACACACCAAAGAAGAAGAAAGACAGACAGACTGCACACAGAGCCTCCTGCACTGCTGATTTGATGTGAAAAATGGCTTTTCTGAATGGTGGTGCTGGTGTCTTTTATTTTTGGGGAGGTTAGTGCTCCAATAATATTACTCCAACTACACTGCTACTATAAGATGTCATCTGGAGTTATGGATATTCTGCATCACACCTTATCTCTCTGGCTTCAAGTCAAGCGTTATTAATGTGCAATTAAAATTTAAGCGGCACTGAAAAATAAATGAGGCAGAATATGTGTTTTGGAACAAGCCATTTCACCGATTCAACTCTTCAATTAAGCCTCAGAAACAAGACTGCATTTAATGGCAGCCATTTAACCTCAATTTGACATTTTTACCATACCCTCTATCTAATATGGAAAACTAACCCAAGTGGAAATGGCGCCCCATTAGTCAAACAACGCTGGCTTTCCTACCCTTTCTTCCATTCAAAAGTTTCCTCTAATTGTGCTGCACAACATGCACTTGTGAGTGTAGCTGAGGATAAGAGCTTGCATGCAAGTATAACCAAGGGAGCTGGACAAAAGTTGTGTTCCTGATTCTCTGTTTGACTGACTAAAGTAATTCAAGCTGAATGACAGAGCCACAGCGGAGGAGAGCCAGTGCTAAAATGTACAATGATTATTTTAAAGAACCCAAAGGCTCCTCACTGGGTGAAAATTTAGCTTGTCTTCAAAACTGATTTGTTATTATTTAACAAATTAGTCAATGCATGCAACAGTGACCTGTTTTTCATTAATTCTTCTGTTGTGGACTGTAAATTGAGCCTGTTTTGAATTTGAAAAGTAAACAAAGAAAGTTAATTTTGATCATGCTCCTGAACTTTAATTTTAATTAATAGTCCAGCGAACTCAGTGAACCTCATAGCTGAGCAAAAAAGTATTGTATGTTTACTCATTTTCTCGGAGTAAAATCTGGGTTTAGTACAAAAAAACAGAAAATGGCCAAACACAGATCACAATAAACTTTTTCATAGTTCTAGAAACTGTTGGAACCCTCCTCCTTTTTTATTCACTCCGCACCACGAGAACTGTGAAATATTTTAGTTCCTAGAACCCTATTTAGAGGAACCTTTTTTAACTCCTGCTTCAGTGTAGGTACCATGGTGGTGCGAATGCAGACAGAAAAATTCCCCTACGCTGTTTAGTTCTCAGGGATCTCTCTAGTCACTAGAGAGTTGGGAACTTTCTGAAGAGGAACTATCCACTAAAGTCTAGTAGATAGTTCCTCTTCAGAAAGTCCCCAGAACAGTTTGGTCTGAAAACACCTCATGTAAGCAACAAGGAATTATCAGTAATATTGTCATTTGAGTCTGTAATCAAGCATTTTAAATTATCTAACATTATCATAGAAAAATTTACTTTCAAAGCCTGTACAATGAATTAAATATATATAATTATAATACCTAAAGCTAGGGGTAACGAGAAATGTATAAAGGACCTAAGAGCATGCTATCTACTCCAAGAAAAGAGTATGTCGTCTGCATGAAATGTTTTGTCTGTTAAGATTAATGATTTATTAATAAAGACTGACAGTTAAAGAGGACCTAGAACAAATCCTTGAGGAACCCCATTGTCAATTTCAAGGGTGGCTGCTTAAGTATGAGCAACAATAGCCCGATTTATTGTAGCCATCAAACAGCTGTTATCAAGATAAAAAAGCCACACAATGTTACTCGTTGAATAATAAATAAGACTACTAACAATAGAAGCCCTCGATATAATCGAGTGTATCAGGACTTAAATGTAATTGCAAAGTTTTTGTGAGAATCAAAATCACAAGGGTCTTATTGTATTTAATTGCTGATCTTGCATTTATACATACCTAGTAGATTTAAGAGAGGACCTCTTTGTCAGTGATTGCACAAAGATACTTTTCTTTGTTTCCAAGGGAGGTGAAGCTCCCTCTAGCTCTATAGGCCTTTTGCATATAGATAAAATGTGTTACAATGACGGACTGGACCAGTTACACACAGTTTTCCTTCATAGTTTATGTTACGCACTCATTTGACTGATGACAGAAGATCAGTCAGCATGAATACCAGAGGACCTGCTAATGACGACGTTATTAATGGTTTCAAGGGGTCCTGTGTTTTAAATTCAGCATATCTTCAAGCAACGTGATTTAATAGAAATATAATTAAGGGCTTGAGTAATTCAAGGTCAGAGATTGAGCAGGTTCTCTATGTAAATGAGCAAACTAAATTATGCAAGAAGGTCTGTTCAAAGAGGTGTTTGAAATTGTCAGACTAATGATACCACCATGGTATCTTTGTGGCTAGAATACCAGGCAGGTTGTGGGGTCTTATGACTCTTTAAATTTGAAAAGCATATGACAACAGCTTACTCACTCAAACTTTAGCAAATATTTTGTCTATTTTTCATTCTCCCTATTTTTGTTTTACGAGTGCCTAAGAATGCCAACATATCAGATTTTTAAGTTTGTTGGTTAAATACAGTGCATACAGTAAATACAGTGAGTAAATATCTTATGTTTTAATTGAATATTGACCCAGACACATATTTTGCAGAGTGATTTAAAATGCTGCTAACATGGCTACATCCATTGATCCAGCAAAGTGTGGTTCTCTTGTTCCTGGAGTGTAAGCTATAGAAGTCTGCTAATGAGCTGGATGATTGAATACTGGACTGGAAATGAGGCAGGGGTGGCTAATGAAGGCAACACTTTATGTCTGTCATAGTCTAAAAATATATATTTTGTCTAGCAGAGTCTCTTGCTGTCCCAAAAATGGTTTAACTCTAACAATATATGTCAATCCTTTCATCCACTGCTGAAAAATCACAAACATTCAATTATTATCCCGAGAGACTCTCTCCTAGACAATCCTAGGAAATAAAAATTATCTGACTAAACCAGTAAAGGCAGACAAAGGATGCTTGACAAGTTTTCTTCTAAAAAAAACAGCCCAAACAAAATGTGGTTTTAATTGACTTTGCAGAAAAACAGCACCCAGGTCCTTTCTTCTCAGGGATGGAAACAACTTGTTAGGATTATTGATTTAAGCAGGATAATAAAATGACTCGTCCTAAAGTCCTGCTATTCAATACACACTGATGAATGAGCAAAAGTTTGACGTGATCCACTGAGAACAACTACAACAACAACATATTTTCAGACTGTCAGACTGTCTGTCTTCCTCTCTCTTGTACTCAAGCAACAGAAAGTGACAGATTAAAAGCACTAGAACGGGTTCAAAGAAAGTCATACATCAGATCAAGCTAGTCTCAAAGAGAGATTTCTGCTTGCCACTGGATGTTAAACTAAATTTAAATCTTATTCATTAAGCTGCCTGTTACCTTCTTTAATACCACTTTAACTTGGACTGACTTGATTTTTGTGTAGAAATGTGAAAAGTTGAGCTCTACCTTAGCAGCAAATGAAGAGCTTGGCTTCTCCAGGAGATCCCACAGCTTCATCCTCTTCTCAGAACAACATGTGGTTGTAAACTCCTCTCCATCCCTCTCCCTCATGTTCTCGGCCTCTCTTTTCAGCTCCTCATTCATCTGCTCCTTCTTCTGGTGATACCTGGCCTGGCAGCACGACTCCAGGTAGATTTCGTCGATGCCCCAGAAGTCGAGCTCCTGGCTGAACGACAGGGCGCACATTTCCTCCATCATGTGCAGCTTCCCTGTGCGGTAGAAGTTGAGAATAGAGGTGAAGGCGCCAGGATGTCTGTCGAAGAAGTACTCATTGCTATCCAGGCTGTAGTCGTCGCAGATCTCCATGATGGAGTCGTGGGTGTTGCAGTCTCTCAGCTTGCCCAGTCTGGTGCGGGGCAGCCGGTCCAGAGTCCTCCAAAGGACCTCATGGAGGAGGCCGCCAACGTTGAGTCTCACCCGGCGGGTGTTTGTCTTGCTGTGGATGATGTCCATGGTGTCTGGTGACTGCAAGGAGCCAGGTGTAGATCCTGATTTGTTCATCTTTCAGATCCCTTGGACTCTTAAAAAGACTGGAAGATACAGTCTGGTGGATTAAGAAGACATGGTCCTGGAGAAGACTGCATCAGGGTCCCTCCTTGTTTCTTACCCGAGCTGTAAACAAAGAAAACAAAAAGATTTTTTTAAGCGCACTGGAGCAGTCTCTCTATGTCCTACAGCATGAATGTCAGGTGGTTTATCCACTCATCAGACAACAGATAGATATTGTAATCAGCTTTAAGAGGCACAGACGCTTTTCTTGCTGACAAGGGTGGAAGTGGGGGGTGGGGGGTGTAGGTGCTGGAGATCCCGGCCAATGATAAACTGGGCTCAACTTTGTGAGCGCTGTTTGGTGCTGAATCTGTCGCTGTCGATGGGCTGTGGTGCTGAAACGTGCAAGCCCGGGTCACACACGGATCGTTGTTACCGACTCAAAGGCAGCGGAGTTTTAGATTGCAAATGTCAATATGTTGCTGGACTGTTCCCAACAGCGTAATATCAAACCAGGTTAAATCTAACTCTAAATATAACCTTTGGTAAAGAGCCCAAAACACATCATGTGTTTTTTAAAATCCTTTATGATCTTTTTACTAAAATATTTGTTTGCTAACGTCGACTTTCAAAAGAAGAAAGTTACACAACAAAATTAAAAAACAATACATAAAAATGACTTAAGCCAAGAAAAAAAATGCTTTAATGGCTACATTTGTGGTAATGTACACATATGTGTGTCATGCAACAGGAATGCATTTTTATACCCGGATTAAGTAGCACTCAGACAACGGACAGGACTAAAAGATCAAAGTGTAACAAACCAAGTGGGCTAAAAATAGATCCAAAACATCAAAAAGGGGATTAATGTGATACATACGTGTCTCCCGCATATCCCGGTATGTCTCATGAACGTCCAGCAGCAACATTTCAGGAGTAATCTCAGGATTCAAACTTGTGTTCCCCGTCCAGATCTCCGGCTCTCCGCTTGGAGCTGAGGGAGGCATCATGAGCCACGTAGCGGCATGTTGGAAAACACATTTGTTTCACGCAGACATCACCATGTCCCAGCTGTCCTGAGAGCTCCTGATACAGGTAAATATCAACAAGTAGACACAGGAGAGTATCCTCTCCTCTTCCCCCCTGCTCTCGGTGTGAGAGTGAAACGTGCTGTTGGCTGCTGGCCGGCTTCTGTGTGACTGTGATGGGATCCTGCAGGGGCTGACTTCACAGTCTGTGAGAGTTTAACCCTGTCAGAGCCACAGCTTGGTGTATCTCCACTGTGTTTTGTGTATGAAACAAACATACAGGTACTGTAGGACCATGAATATGACTGAACATCTGTAATCATAGTGGTTTAAGTGAGGTCACTAACATGCCAAGTGCCAAATTTTTACATCACAGAAACTGTGCAAAGACTCCAAGAAGTGTGTGTGTGATCTAATTTTTCATAGAATGTTTGCCAGTAAATGTTTTCCAAACTGAAGCATGGTAAAAATAAAGTATCCAGTCCAGACAACCAAGCTAATTGGTATTTCTCTGTTTTTTTTAAACTTTTTAAACATACTTCAACAGAAGCAAACAAGATGTTGTCCCTTAACAAACCCGAGTTGTACCTTACAATATGTGGTCTATAGTTCTGCTATAGTCGCTTTCCAAACAGACATCTAAATCTAAACTTTCCACTCAGTGTTGCTCTGCAAACATCAGGAGTGTGTGAGTGTGACAGATGTGTGGCCACCTCTGTTTACAGAACAAGCAGTCCCCTTCTAATGCTGGAGCTTTGTATTAGACAAACGGAAAGAGGAACCAAACTTTTTACAGCTCCTGAAATAATATTGAGAACATTAAGACCACTTTTAATGTCTCATTATTATCATTATTTTCTGATACACACATAAGGTGGGCTGCAGAAGACACTAATGTGGCTGTAATCAATTTGAACAAATGAATTTACACAATAACTTAAAGACATGTGACAACAGATCATAAACAACATATTTATTGATAAATAACACAATATGTATATACTGTAGAATATAAATATAGAATACAAAAGTACAAAGGGCATATTGACACTATAGGCAATGTACATGTGTTGAAATGTGAATACAAATGTTTTCTGCTTCTTTTTCAGTCCAAGTTGTTTTTTCTGGGTTTATATCTGAAAAGCAGGTCCTGCTCTGGTTGTAGCATCCCAAATCCATAACGACTCGCATTTACCTCCGGCATTGGAGCGAGTGGGTCACACAGCTCCAAATCATAGTTAGTCAGCACCATGTACACAAACCTGTAAAGCAAACACAGAGATGAAATATCAAATTAGGAGTATTCAAGTAGAAACTAAAGGTACACTACTGAGGTATGAACATGGTTCTGAAGAGTTTTTGGTGCACTAATTCAAGGACACTCACTGTCTGATGGTATTGATGGCAAACTGCTTTCCCACACAGCCATTGGCCCCTGCGCCCCATGGCATGGTGTAATATTTCAGCTGCCTCCCTGCCTTATAAAAATCCCTCTTTACTGATCCATTGGCGTTCAGGAAGCGATCATACTTGTATTTCTGGAAAGGAAACATTAGATTAAATAAATGAGAAAGAACACTTAGCTTGATCATTCAGTATAAGTCTGTTTGTTTGTTTCATGTATGGTGGACAGAGCCTAACTATGTGTTTCCCACGCTTATTAGCTCTGTTTCTTTCCCTGTTCTCAGCTAATCCCTCACTGGTCTACAGCTCTGGGTTTGATCTCTCACCGGGTACCACAGTGTCAGCTTTGTGTGGGCGTTCATTTCACCTTTTTATAAAACAGACGAATTACATCCTAGTCTGCATTTAACTTCTGCTAAAGACAATTCCTACTATTCCTATAGTGCAGAGAAGATGGGAAAAAAGAGCTGTTGCTTTAACAGGACAGGAAAACAAACCTGTGGTTCGTGGTGAATCTCAGGGTCCATTTGAGGGCTGCTGAAGGGAAACAAACACACCCGGTCTCCTTTTCTCAACACATACTCCTGGCCATCAGCCATGTGGAGAGTTTTCTCCTGCACTACCTCTCTGGTGATGAAAGGGGCAGCGGTGAGCCTGAGTGTCTCTTCCAAGGCACTGTCTGTAAAGAGACAGAAAGAACAAGTGTTAAGAACAGGAACAACTAACCAGAATGTTCTTAGAAAAGTTTGTGTTTGTCTGATTGTCTATCTCTAATAATATGCATTTATTAACGTAATGGTTAATGGACTTTATTCATTTCTTAAGCTGTGGTGATTTCTCTTTAAGTATATTTTTCTCCAAGTTGGGGTTTTGTGCATTATGGTGTATATATTTCTTCATATCTTTTATCATACAACTAATTCAAACAATCCAGACTTTAGTTTCCAACTCATCTGCCTAACAATAGGAACAACCTTGTTTGTACAATGAGTGTCTCTCTGTTTACATTAGCCTGATTTGAGTCCTCACCAAACACAGGGGTGTCCACATGTTTGTCTGAAGTCTCCATCTCCATCCTCACCGCTGTTAGAGATTCAGGATTAGTCAACAAGAAGCCCAACAGCCAAAAAGCAGCAGGACCAACATTACCCTGGAAACAAACAGAGGCTCACATAAGACAAAGATACGATCTCTCACCCTGGTGTGTTGCATGGAGACAGCACAGACGGTTCTCTAGCAGAAGTCAATAACACACATAGAGGTCATGTATAGCTTTTGTTAAAAAAACAAAAAACAAAAACAGATTGCTGTCCAGATGAAAAAGAACGGCTTCCTTTATGTGTCTGAGATGAGAGGAGTCATGTTCTGGATAGTGTCACTACTGGCAAAGCACACTGCTGTACTAGTTTACTTAAAAAGGAAAGCCTTCAGAAGCCTGAGGTCCCCCTGCCATCTGCCTGCATCCAAGGACAGGAGAAAAACGACAGCGCTGTCTGCCAAGAATAAACATTCAAAAAGTGAACGGTAAATAGATAACCACAAAAATATGCCCCTTGCGTTACTGTAAATACATTATGTAGACAAAGGAAGGTTTACTTTACAACACATAAACAGTGGAGATGAAGAACATGTGAACATGTGTATTCATACAAAAGAAGTTAACACTATCTACACTTTTTATCAGAGACTTAATTGTACAAAAAACATGGATATATTTCTGAATGTTTGAATATAATAGAACTATGTTGTCTTTCATTAAAAAAACTGTTTTTCATTGCTGCATTAGCCGTGAAACAAATCATTTGTTGTGCAAGTACATCTAGCAAACACACTTTAATTTCTGTCGCTGAAGTCAGGAAGAAAAGTGTGACTCATGGACAGCTGAAAAGGTATGACTCAAAACTGGAAAACAAATGTAAATAAACCATGGTGACAAGTGCGATGATAGGATGAGTAAACAGCCTGCGGAGTGATGAAGTAAACATCTGATGAACTTGTTTGATGCAATAAAGCTCTCAAACAGGGCTGCAGGCAAAACTGTATACGTCCAAATCAAATCCAGTTAGATATGTGTCAGAAGTCAAGACCAGGTCAATCACATTACATCAATGACCTACTTGGATGTTTTTCAATTGTCCGTACAATAATATTGAAATCTCTTTTTTACATGGTAATAAATGTGCACACACATCCAGAACCAGAAGTACAATAACACAATCTAGTTGGTTTTAGATTGTTATGGAAGTTATGTTGTATAACAAGTTTGAAATGTTTGCTCCTAATGAATTACCAAAAGACCTGAAACTTGCTGTTCTTATTGGATGTGTTTAAGGTGAATAGAATGACTTGGAAGCACGCACATCTGGCTGTAGATATTCTGCCTGATCTGTTTATGATTCTGGTTCTGATTTAGATGTGTTTGCTGGATTCATTTGTTATCACACATCTATCTGCTCACTGTTTGAAAACCCTTTATTGACTGTACTGCTGTGTATGTTAAGTCTTCAACAGCGATATTTAATCTCAGCAAGCATTTCCTGCTTGGTGAAGGTTGAATAATTAAAAAATATCTCTTACAAATATCTTTGAAGGAAAACATCTTCCACCGTGTGTCAGAGAGAAAGGTCAAAATAAGTTTCCCTCTCTTTTATTTTGACAAAGGAAATAGTAATGTCAGCATTTAGAATGTTGAAGCCCTTCCTATGTCCCTAAAATTGACATGCTCTCTCTCCAAATCAGAGTATCCACAGTGGAAGGAGAGGTGGACAGCGCCCTCATGTGCCAGATAAGAGTACTGCTGCTACTGCCCCTCTATAGCTCTATCTCAGACTCCTTTAATTCAAGACTTCATGAAGACGTCAGGGAGAGAAAGAACTCACAGAGGCATCAAGTTCATCTGTCTGAGAAGACAAACGTGCCTAATCTCTTGAGGTGGTCAAAAATCTGAAACCATAGACATCTGACTCACCTGTGTGGCCCAGAGCTGCATCAGTACTGCCCTCCTCTGCATCTCCTCGTCAGCACCCGCCTCCTGCAGCATTCCCCTGTAGAACTGAAGCCAGGGGCTCGAGCCTGAGCCTTCAGTCCGACCTGCTGGAGCCAGAAGCTCCCACAGTCGCTGCCGCACACTCTTAGCTGTCCTCTTCTCCTCTGTCACACAGACAAACATCACAACATGGAAGTGAGCGAGTGAGCAGAAACAGCAGAGAGTCTTAGGTATGACGGACGTAATCACCACAATATTGTAATCGGCCCACTTGTCAGTTTGTTGTTTCTAAACATTGAAATATCACACGATGAAGCACAAGGCCTGAAGGGGGAAAAGTTGCGTCAACCAAGTGAGCTAGATTTACAAGTTAGATCACAGTCTGTGAAAGTCTACAAAAACACTAAAAGACTTCGAGACACTAGATCAAAGAACAATGAGTAAGTGAAACTCATGGCAACCAGAAAACAAATCTGAGGGGGATGATGTCACAGCATGTAATACGGGACTCAGTGAAAAGTGTAAAAAGACAGGACACACATTACACATTGACATGATTCATCTGTTGTATCATCAAACATCTAGATTAGTATAAAAACATCCTCCTTTTTCCTTCATTCTAAAAACAACACTCGATTGTATCACCATGATCTGGACAGAGACTTTTAAATTACATTTTTATGTTTTAAAATATTTAATAAAATATTACAAACAAAGTTTTCCATGTTGACCAAAAAACAGGATAATCCTACTCGACAGTTTTACACATTTTGCATCTTCTTAAGGTCGGATCCAGATCCAAACTAGACCTGGACTACGAGATCTTATTGGATTTTAGGATCCCTTTTGTACTTGACATACCCACTTCCTAAGATCCATTCTGACAGCCAAAATGGGATCAGATTATTCTTGAACAAATGTGTCCTGATGATCTGTATTTACATCTAAAGAATGTATAACTGAGTCTTCTGTTTAATGTCAGAGAACTACACGCTCTTTAAACCAGACCATTCAAAGGAGTTTCAAAACAGAAGTTATTGTCTTTACCTGGCGTCAGCATGCCTCTTGCCAGTTTGGTTAACAGACCATCAAACTTCTTGTATTCGTCATAGACATGTGAGGGATCAGTGCTGTTGTTGTTCTGCTCTCCTCCGAACAGCGTCAGGTACCCCGCCCTGCAAACAACACAGAGAAACACAGTGTCAGAATGTGCGGGGCTTTTCTCTGGTTCACTGGTATTTTTGTATCGTTGCTCGGATAAGCAGCCCACACGGAGTTCTTCCTTCACACACCAGTGACCTTCTTTGAAGTGACATTTTTCCACCAGCCTCACTCTGCAGAGCATCTATCAATATCCACTCTCTTTTGTTTTCTAATATTTCATAGATTAGAGGACAGCTACATTAAGATTCAAATCCACTCTGCCAAAATGTTTAACCTGGAAAAGTCACCTCAAACATTTGAGTCAGTCATCCTCAATTTGTCTCCTGTATTTACAAACAGAAAACCTCAGAATCGACAGCGGTGTAAACTGTTTAGGTGAACACTATTCACACCCACGCCTGCTACTTTTGACATAGTTCAAAGTGTGGGAAGATGGGGGAGGGGGGGGGCTCTCTTACTTGAAAAGTAAGCTGTAAGAGAAGTCGAACAGTCCCTCCTCTTTCCAGTCTTTCTGGTTCTGAGGCATCTTGGCATTCAGCATGGCCTGCAGGTTTCTGCTAATGGTGCTGTTGAGGGCGGACAAATTCATTCCATGAAATTGCCTGCAGACACAGAGGGAGAACGGTTAACTGCTCCATTAGAGGAAGAATCAAAGATTTCAATCCTATCACTCTGGTTGATGATATTGTAAAAACAGTTACACACCTTTTTTTAAGTTACCTGTTGACTTTGGACTTTCTGTTTTTCTCTGAGGTGAACACTTTGGGTTTGTTTTGAACAAACTTGGGTTACTTGTTTAATAAAAGGAGAGTACAAATGTGCACTGATTTGACTAAGATGCAACATGAAGAAAGTAGTTTACCCAAATGATTCAAATTAAAGATAGTGTTCATGTCTTTAGTTCAACAAGGTCATAACAAATCAAAACTGTGTGGCTGACAGCTGAGCAATAACAAAACAAGAAGTCCCAAAAATAGATTTCCATAAATGGGAGCGGCATTCTACAAAAATAAACTGTGCACGAGTCGGTGGATTCCAACAACTGAAATGAAAATGAAAATATGCAGAAGAAGCTTTTAGTTTGAAGTTAAGAGTGATAGAGACGTACTCTCTCATCATTGCTTTTTCTTTAGCAGGCTGCTGGTGCGGCAGCTGCAGGTTGAAGATCCTCTCCATGAGCACCTGAGCATAGCGGCTAAAGTCCAGAGAGTCCGAGTCGTTGATGACCGTGTCAAATGAGTGAGGATCCAGAAGCACCGTCACGTAGCGTCCAGCAACACGCACCTGAAGATAAAAGTAGAAGTGTATGAGACAAACGCAGATTTAACACAGAGGATCATTCAAACATTACGTTTGAAATGTTTGTAAAATGCAACAACAAAATAACCATCTGTATAATATCTTCTATCACACTTATTAGTGAATGGTACATTTAACTGATGTACATATGTTTGATTTTGATTTTTAATAATTTTATTCCTGTTTTCTTGAGCTGCTGTAATGAAAAAATTTCCCCCATGGGGGATCAATAAAGTTTATCTTTATCTTTACTTCTCTAATATTTTAGTGTTTTGAGGTTTTAAGTAAATTAGCTCAATTTTCTATTAATATCAATGAATACAAAACTCAAGATCACACTTTTTGAAAACTATTCATTGGTGGAGATCCAATGAATAAAACCTCTTTTTTTATTCTGAATAAAGGACAACCACAGTTTCTCAATAAATGTTGCATTACAGTGTTTTTAACATGCTGTTACAGTCAGACTGACTTAGATCTCATTAAGAGAAGCAGAAGTGCTGCAAGTTCATTCTTAAGAAATTATTTCTGAGGTACACAATCAGAAAACCTTACAAGTCTGATTTAAATGTCCAGCTCTTTAAAACAGGAAAGCTCTTCATGCCTTTCTAACAGCATCACCACTGACTTCCAACTTCAGGCCTTCAGGTTTGGGAAAAGCAATTAACCAAAAAAATCCCCCCTAAAGGTTTATAAAGCTGATGTTTTCATACTTTCTTCTTCAGTTGATGTTTTTTGCCCCATTTTCACAGATTTGTAAATGTGAACATTTCTATTTCGTAGGACCCTTTAAATTGGCATAAAAGCTTAATTTTGGGGCTTCTAAAGAGAAGAGACTGTACAAATGTCAGAATAATTCACATGTAAGTGTGGACTGAGGAAATATTCATGTCTTAATTGTACATACTCATTAGGAGAATTCTACTCACTGTAAAAATGTCGCCGTGTTTCTGCTTCATTCGAGTCAAGAACTTTGCAGCATCTTTCCCAAATTCTAGAGCATGGCCTAACCATGGGATCACTCCTTTGTCCAGAGGTGGATCACTCTTGGACCTGAAAAAAAGAATAAGAACATTTTGTGATTTGATGTACAGCATCCTAATGGTATTTATTTTAAGATTTACACAATTATAAAAAGAGACATGAACTCAATGTTTTTTTTTGTTTAGTTTGACATTAGATAATAGTTAGATAATCTAAAGTGCCACTAAATTTAGTACTATAGTAGTTTTACAACATTCCTGAAGTGGGAAGAACCCACTTCACAAATCCATTATCACCACGTTGTTAATATTATTGCTAAACACATAGGATGACTCTAAACAAAGCATGAATCGACGTTAGAAATAGATGCACAAACGCCTTTACAATTATAGACATTTTTAAAAGCACTTTCCGTGTCAAAAACAGTGTCTGCCATGCTTTCATTGTTTAGGCAAATGCCAAAGTGTTTGACATACACGACATCACAAGTGGATGAGAAAGGGCTTACCTGGATCTGTGTGTGAGAATGAAGTAGAGCAGCACCGCTTGGAAAAGCAGAAAAATGGTCCAGATCATCTTGTGTGTTTACTTGGTCGCTTCGCAGTCTCTTGAGTCCCATCGGCTCGCATGTTGGCTTTTATAAACGCTCACCCCACGGTTACGTCACCGCTCAGTCATAACATCCTCTCAGCGCTCATTCATAAAAACTTCCGTTGAGTGTTGACGTCATCACGCCTAACCTGCAACCCAGTGGCTTTTATCCAGACTCGGAAACAGGTTTATTTTGATTTTGATGTTACTATATGATCCAGGTTACTTCTGCCACATAAAACAAGCAGGTAAAGACCTCGGTAATACAAAACATTTGGCCACTTTACAGCCGAGAAAGATGGATTTGTACCCGTTTTTTTTTTTAAATCGTAGATTATGGAACTGGAACTCACTCCCTACACACATTCAACTCTGCACCGACCCTCCAACTTTCAAATCACTGATCAAAACTCACCTCTTCAAACAAGCTTTTAACGTATGATTGTGATGTATTTCCTGTTTTCTGTAGTTTACCTTTATTGTTCTTATCTTGTGTGTAATGTTGCAATGTCTGTTAGTCTGTCCTTACTGTGCTGTTCTTTCTGTTTCTAACTATTGTACAGTGTCTTTTTTTAAAAGCGCTTATAAATAAAATGTGTTATTATTATTATTATTATAATCATAACCGTTTCGCGGTAGAATCTATTTAATACGCCGGGTTTTTCTGTCCTGTAAAAAGATTCGTTAGTTGCGTTAGAACCTGATTAATACTACTATCATAATTTTCTTATTTGGAAAAGTACGTTAGGTGTGTTGGGTAAACTATTACTGGAGTGAAAGGTAAAGGGAAGTATAATCTCACATCCAAATGTGTCTCAATCTAGCGTCACTCATTAGTCACTCACATGCAGACACTTCCTTTTTGACTTCATATCAGCTGATATTTGCTTTAAGCGTCTCCACCTATTGTGTGCAGGTCAGCACGTCAACCATGGGAGGAATTAAGGCGGGTAGATGGACACAAAGGAAAGGAGAGAAAGGCTAACACTCAGATTGTGTCCTGAAGGTAAAAATATTACTTAATAGAAAATATCCTAAAAGATGCTACAACTTCTTATTCTACTCAGGTTATTAAGGGTGCTACTGACAAACAGGTGTCGAAAGTATTGACATTCATTACTGAGGTAGAAGTATAGATACTAGGGCTTAAAAATACTTCTGTAGAAGTTGAAGTATCAACTCAAGCTTTTTACTTAAGTAAAAGTGTCAAAGTACTGGTTTCAAAACTACTTCAAGTATAAAAGTAAAAGTAATGTAAGGGGAAAAAAATGCCATTAAGGACAAAAGCTTAGGCCACGCCACAGGGGCCTATAGTGCACTACCCCTCCCCAAAAAACATTTTTCTAAAGGCCATAATGACTATAATGTTATATTAAAATGTTAATGTTGAAACATTTGGGATGCACCTGTTTCAGCCACATTCATGCCCATTGGAAATGAACACATTTTAGTACAAATACATTAAAGAACCATATATGTATACTACTGAGCATTAACATGTGTTTCATGGAGCTGAACATATGATCACTAGTTGCCTATAAGTATTGTAATGGTGCAAAAAGTCTTCAGAGGCATGTTATCAATAGTCTTTATTGGAATGTAAATGTATATCCAAGCTTAGCTGCAGGAATCTGTGAAGGCAACGGATGTAAGATAACAAAACTGGAAGAAAATTGGTGTACCCCTTGTATGGTTGTCTCTGCCACAGACATCTTCATACTAGGCTACATACGTCTGCTGTTTCCTTGCTGGAGTGTGACGTGATTTGTGTCATGTGCAGGTGCGATGGATCGCGTACAAACCAATAGGGTGTCAGAATGGTATGTGTTTATACTTCTCATCCAACAACAATCAAATTCACTCTATCCGGATGGCGCGATTTATCTGGATAGGTTTTTTTTTTTTTTGTGTTTTTTTGAACGATGACAAGCCAGAATGAAAACAAGCTGAAATGAAATAGGAGTAATGAGGCTATTTTTCAAATGTAAGGAGTAGAAAGTACAGATAATTGTGTGAAAATGTAAGTAGAAGTAAAAAGTCGGCTGAAAAATAATTACTCCAGTAAAGTATAGATACCCAAAATTTCTACTTAAGGTAACGAAGTATTTGTACTTAGTTACCTGACACCTCTGCTGACAAAGAACTCACACTGAAAGCATACTGGGCAACAGGAACCTTATGTATCAAATGAATTGAATTTGAATATTTATTGACATGAACAAAAAAGCAATGTGCGCTTCATGTAAAGTGGAAACATTGGGTGTGAGGTCACCTCTGACTTTAAAAAAAGCTTGCCCTCTCAAGTTAGCCATTTCTCACATTTAAACCAAACAAGAAATACAGAAATCAAACTCAGTTTGGCACGTTTGACTGGCACATCTGAATTATTAAATTAAAACAGTGAAAATATAAATACTGCAAATCGAACATTTCCTGAAAGATCAATTCAGAACTTAAATGCAGGATGTAAATTAAAATAGCTCCTTGACATCCTTCCCGTCCCCCTGCGTGTTAACCGGTCCTCGTGATTCATAGATGTCCTCCGGAGTTTGACCAAACACGGCCCCGGTCCTCTTAAGAAGGTAGACTCCAGCATGTAAACCTCCGACGTTGACCCAAACAGTGTGCAGCTTCCTCCACAGCCCTCCCATCCTCGAGATAGCCTGAGGACAACATCAACAGGGCAAACATGATCTCTGCTTAGACAAATACAGCTGTTTAAAGTCTTCTTCCATGAGAGAGCGGGTTTATGTTATATCACTTCAACTATGGAGGGTTATTTAAAGATTATTCAGGATGAGTTCATTCTGCACGTAAGCTTTGAAGCAGTATGACCTCATCTTACCATACTAAGATGTTTAGTTTTGAGCGCACGTAACCAACAGTGTATTTTTTCCATTTCACAACAAAACACAACTTTAATCTGTAATCAGTAATCCATTTGTCCATAATGGGAATGCCCTGATATTAACAAAGAAATATGTCATTGTCTGAAACTTTGCTGACTCATGACTCTGTTAAAGGTCCAAATTTACAAAGCAGGAACTGTTGAAAGGTTTCCTTGGTGATAAATCAATCGCAGAATGTCACACGTGTGAAACAAGTCAGTCATCAGTGTATATCAGGGCACAAAGAACAGCATGCTGTGGTTGAAGTCAAGGTCACACAAAACGAGACCAAGACATACCCAAGACCAGAGCGCTCCGAGACTGAGACAAGACCGAGATATTTAGGGGTCGAGACCAAGACCAAGGCAGGGCGAGACCAAGAAAAAACCAAGACCATAAATGTCGCTGGAAAATCCTCATCTTGTGTGCAGCAGGCATGTCACTTACTTAGACCGTAACACCGGGAAGGTTGTGGCAGTGACCGGGGGATAAAAATCTAATTATGAATGAATTTTAGAATTTAAGGCATTTCCCTTTTTATGACAGTAATGAAGAGGAAACATAGCCTGTCAGTGATGGTCTTGACTGGTCTTGATTTAAAATCCAGATTCCTTTCAGTCTGAGACTGAGACAAGACGCAGTAAAAATGATTTTGATTCCGAGACGAGACCTTCAAAAAGACAAATACCAAGACCGATTTGCAGTACTACAACACTAGAGCTATTTCCACTGACTTTATCAACAACTGTGCCTGAACAACCTTCAATGAACAAAAGATTCCCCAAAAGAAGCACTTGTTTAAAACCACTCATTGGTTTAAAAAAGACTATGCGGGTACCATTGAAGCATCACCAAGTCAGTACTAAGTTTGTACTTGGCCTGCACTGTAAGAGAAATCTGCAATTTGCAAAACATTGTTTCATATTTCTTTGACTACATGTCAATAAAAATATGATTCCTCAGCTTTCATCATGCAAGCTAACCTCACAGTCACCACCAAATTCAAATACCATTACACAACATTATGTCTTGTTTCAGAAGATCCAGACTCTTAACATTTATAACATGAACATTTCTCAAATGTGTTTTTATTTATAAGACACAGAGTGAAGAGAATATCCCTGAACAAGACTTTATTCTTCATTTGCAGGTCCATCCTCCCAAATGTTTAGAGGCAGCAAAGTTCTGTCAAAAATCTGCTTCTCAGTGAAATGTTACAAAAAATGCCCCAAAAAAACCTTTAACTGCTATTTTTAAGTCCTCATTATTCATGTATCTATGTTTTTTCTGAATCACTTGTTAGTTTTTATTGGTTTTATTTATTTATTTTGGTGTCACTACAGGTGTTAAAATAGATGTTGCACAAATAAAATATCTTCCTTACATCAGGCAGTTTCCCCCCGATGTGTTAGCTGCACATGTTCATACCCAAATGACGATAATATTGACATGTATTGTGTATTCTTCATGTACTACTGAGTTTAATCACGCCTCTCTCTTCAACTCGCTGGTGTAAAAAAGGGTGGAGATGGAAACCAAAACAGTTGTCGTCAGGTGGAAATTGGAACAGTGTATACTTTGTATTGTTCTTAGAGAAACACACTGTTACTCCACGCCTATGGTGGTGCATCAGAGGACTCTTAGGTTGAAGCACAGTCAGCAGTTAATTAGATAATATATCATGATGCTTAAACGTGCATCTGCCTGCTCACACCCCAGAGTTCATTAAGAATTTCTTGTAAAATAGCAGAATATCATTATAAAAAGGTTGCATTGATTATACATTATTTATCATTGATGGTTTGTGGGGACATCCATCCAAAGACCGACCGAGGACTCATCATGTTGATCCAAACTGAAAAACTAAACTCCTCTCTGTTTCCGTGTTATTGTGAGCATTGCACACTAATGACTTTCATATGTAGGTGATTAGTTTATGTTGGCACCTGAATGCTGCTCAATGAGAAACCAGGCCAGCAGAGAAGGTAGGTGTGGCGTTCCTAACAGGTTGTGCGTTGTATGCAAAGGCTGCCAACATGTTTAAAAACCAGATTCACGTTTGGAACAACAGATTACATTGTTATAAGGAACACGGAGACATGACTTGTTCTCATGTTACAGTATCTAATGTTACTGGGAAACTTATTTTTAAATGTTAGCGGAAATTCTTGAAATGTGCGTGAACATTAGGTTACCTTGGAAAAACATTTTTTGTCCTGCGTCAACAACACAGCCTTCCCTGTGCCTGGTCTGCACACACGGGCCATCTCTCTGAGACAGGACGGGTACAGGTCCCAGTTCTTCTTCCTGGAGCCCATTCTTCAAGGAAACAAAGAAGAGACTTTAACCTATGATTGCAGTTAGAGGTGTATTTCACATGTTGAAGCCCTCGATTATCCCCGTACCTCTTCCCAAAGGGCATGTCAGTGATGATTATGTCAACAGAGCTGGTCCTCATGGGTAAGTTGCACAGATCCCAACGCACCGTGTCAATGGGCAACCCAGACGGACTGAATGAGAGCATCAGACAAAAGACTTCAAGTTCAATTCAAACCATGAACTACACACATTCCCTCTCACTCCTCAGTCTCTTACCTTCCTTTCTCTACTCTGCGTTTCTGAATGTGACAAATGTTATTGACTGTGCGGTTCACTGCCATGTCGTAGTTGTCACCGGCAATGTAGAATGAACTGTTGAATTCGATGGCCCCCTGAAGAAGAAAAAAAAACAATACAGAATTAAAGGTCTGTCTGGGGATTTCCTTCTGTCATGCTGAAACCACCAGCACTCAGCTTATCACATTGATGATGTCCGCACAGGCCACATGTTCAGTGAGGAAATGTGTTTATTTTCAGATAGTGAGAGGAAGTTGCCAGATTTGAACAAATGTTTGAGCCAAGCTAAGCAGGATTTATTGAAGATAAAAGAGATGAGCGATAAATTAGCTTACATTGTCTTTATCTTACAAAGAAGTCACAAAATAAGATCCTGCTAAATGGCTGCAGTGAAACAGTACAGCACATGTTTCTTTGGTAAAGTCATCGTGTGTCTGTGCAGAATGTGTCGTTTTACAGTGAAGCATATGACATGGTTTACAGTAGATTATGAACCAATCAAGAGGTATCCAGGAGGATTCTATCAATGCACCACATGTGTGCGTTTTCAATTGTTGTAGGAAAGGTAAAGAAGTTATGTCTCACCTCCAGTGGTATAGCTCCAGTCCCGCACATCGGGTCAAGGATTACATCTGACGGCTGAGGCTTACACAGCCTGTCAACAGACACAAAAGAGTGAATTTAAAACGATGCAGCTTCAGGTTTTATATCAAATGCATGAAAAGACTGCTGTATCATTATAGCCCTGATCATTTGAAGAATTACAGACAGCACATCAACTGACTTCTACTGCCAGGCTAGCTACATCAAATCTACAATGTTTGAATTATTCATCTTTATTATATTTTCATTTTATACAGTTCATTTATATATAACTGCTTACATGTATTATATAATTCTTAACAATATGAATATATTCCAAAAAGAGTAAGAAAATGGTCTCTGACAACATCTCCAACACCCCCCCCCCCCCAGTACATAGTTGTGATTGGTCTCACACAGCTTTGTTTTGGTTTGACTCAGACACTGTGTGTTTGTCCGATAAGAAACAAGAGAGCTGGATCAGAAGTGTATTTTGGATCAAATACTGAATGGATCACTGAACAAACTACCACTTTCTTTTGGAAACTCTAAGTGGAGTGTGACCTGATTGTAACAACGTTTGCATTCTTAGCTTGGGATGGATAATAGTGAATTTACGTCCAGTGACAACAGAGTAATCCAGGCTAATTGCCTCCATTAAACAGATCACAAACCTTTGTCTTCCTTTGATTAAGCCTCAATTTACAGCAGGCTTTGAAATGAGTTAATGGCCTCTGCACACTACTGTCCCAATTTCAACTGTAGTGCTATTTCTTCTTGTAATGCGGGAAGTAAATGCATGAGAAATCTTAAACTGAAATATCAAGCAATAACATTTAATTTAATAATTAAGCTTCAGTTATCAAAATACCTTCAATATCCAACATGTTTTTCTACAGAATCCTCACATCACACTGGACTAGTGTAGATCAACTGCTGACATCACTCACAGCATCAATGACATGATCAATCATTTAGGAAAAACAGTCTTTTTGTTTTTACAATGGACATGTCAAAAGCTGCTTTTCATTGGTCGTGTAGTGTAAACGTACCCGCCTCCCTTAATGGAAAATGTTACTTAGGGGAACATTTTTTCCATTATTATTTTCCATTACGTTTTCCATTATGATACTTTTAAAAGAAACACTGACCCATCACTTCAGCGTTTATCTACACACAGATCAGTTTTTCTTGGCAACTGTGATGACACTTGGCAACACATGCCTGGATATGCCAGAAGTCAGTCATACAGGCACCACCTCAAAGCCATCATCTATCAGATGGAACGACTTCTGTACAGCTCTGTCAGGGTGCTTTGGAAATATTTCTTTGCAAAGGATGGTATACATATATATGTTTATGTACTTTTATTCTCTTATTTGGTCACAATCCTGCTCCACAGACAAACTCAAGAACTCTTTTGTCCCCCTGGCCATACGTCTGTACAACACCTCACGGTTATGGCAGGGGGAAAGCACACAGTAACTCTTGGACTAAATCTTCCTTTTTCCATTTGCCATCTGCACAGCTGTCCCAAGAGTCAGCCTCTCGTTGGACACTTTAATGATAACCTCAATTATTTAAATCCCACCTTTAATGTTTGCACTGCCTGTTATTTAATGTCTGTTTTTTTAAACATTGCTGTACATATATAAACAACACAACTTCAGAAGGTCAACCCTTTTTTATTTTTATTTTTTATATTCAGGTCTAATTACAGATTTTTTTCCTCAACTGTTTATAGGTTCTTGTTTAAATGTCACATATATTTTTATCCCTGTACGGGTTATGTACATTTCTTGTATAAATCTATTTTTAATTGCACAGTTTAAGTTTGATTCATCTAGGGGTATTATTTAAATCTTTTTTTCAGGTTAATATATATGTATGAGGGAGGGGGGCTTCGGTTTTGTGGTTAATTTGTAACAAATGTTTAATGTCATGTACGTCTTTGTAACCTGCTACTGGATGCTTTAAATTTCCCTCTGGATCAATAAAGTATCTATCTAGCTATCTATCTATCTATCTATCTAATTTTACACAAGTCTACAGAAAGACAGTAATAAGTTATTTATTGGCAACTGGTGGAGCATAGCTCAGCGTGTTGTGAAGAAAACTTTGATGTGCCCATCGTCCTTATCTATCTGACCTTCTTTTTTCATGTGTCATTTCTTTTTCTGTGCATGGGAGTCGCAGTGATATTCAGAATTCAAACCTGCTGTTGTGGGAGTCTGTTGTTGCAGCAATGCAGTGTTTTTGTCACATAATTTTCCCCATTCCTTTGTATAATAAGTAGCTGTCTAAGGCGACCTCACCTGTCATTACATGTAATGTAATGTCAGGTTCAAAAGTTGAACGATTTTTATGAAACAGAGAATTACCTGAGCATGCCGTAGCACAAGGTAGAGCGAAGTGTAGTGGGTCCAAAGTGACTGATGTTCCTCCTGTGGAGACTCTCTTCTGTGAGCGCGATGCCGATCACCATCTCTTCATTGTGTATGTTAAGTAACACCTAGAGCATTAAAACACAGAGTGCAGGACGAGAAGTAAATAATCAATGCAACCATGCACACAGGGACCTGAAGCAATCAGAAGAAAGCTTGTTGACAACTATTTTGATTTGGAATCATTGTTTAGGTTATAGAAAAAAAGGTTCAGAAAACAGGATTAAATATATCCTCTTAAATAGTTATCTGTCTCATGTGATTGTAAATTTTGATCTCTGGGTTTTGGATTGTTGCTTGAACAAAACAATTTGAGGACATCACCTTGGAGTATTCTATTTCAATACTTTTAGGAAAATGTTACTCAACTGAGTTGTTACCTTCCTTTTGTTTCTCTGTAACTAATGATAAAGTTATGCCTTGCAAAGTTTTCTGAAAAGGCAGAGTTGTTTATGGCCTGTGCAATGATATTCACTTTGCTTCAGCCCAGTCTCAACAAGAACGCCTACCTCTATGTCAAACTTTGTCATGTCTGCTTTCCACTGGAAGAATTCTTGCACAGCCCCACCAAAGTCTCTGGCTGCCTCGTTTGAGGAGAAGCTGTGCTTGTCTCCGGCCCTGTTGCACGTCACACGGAACTTGATGACTTTGTCCTGAGGTGCAGCCTCCTGTGTGCAGCTCTCCACATCAGGTCTGCTCTCTATCTTCGTCTGGCTCTCAGTAGCAGACATTTCTTGAGGTAGCTCTTGGTGCTCAGAGTCAGGCACTAGTACATTGGTAGCCACGGTATTCGGTTTTACTTTGGTGCCATTTCCTCCTTTTCGGTAGCCTTTCTTTTTTTTAAGGGTGCAATTTAATTTCCAAACCTCCAAGGCATTAGTCCAGGGGAGTTTGGAGGCAAGCTGCTGCAACTCCATCAAAGTCTCCTCCTGCACAAAACAAGCAAACAACCATTTATTGCCCTTATGCAATTAAGATCAGCTCTAGAGGAACAAAGCTGGATATAAGTTACCTTTGATCCTTTGAACTGGTAATGATCATATTCCTCAACCACAACAAAAAGGTTGTCCACAGACCTCAGAAGATGGACCTACACAGGAGAGTTTAATGAACAGAGAGACAGACAAAAGTCAATCACCACTGGGGTCATTTGAAACAGCTATTACCAATCATGTAATTCTGAAATCTTGAGGAAACAAAGCTTGCACTGGCTCAAACATCATACCTGGAAAAGCTTGTCAGTGGTTATGGGAAAGTATATACGGCCACGATCTTTGCTGATTCGTGTATCAACACCAATTTTCTCCTTGACCTCTTCAGCAGCAGTGTGTTCAAACCCTGTGGGCACGGTTGCTCCAATAGTGACGGTGATGATGTCCCCAGTGGTGACATCATTCTCACAGGAGGAAGAGCTGGATGGTTCCTCTGTGTTAGGGTCCTGCTCTGCAGCACCTTCTTCTTGTGAGGACATGATGAATATGTATGTGCTAGACAAACAGATCTAACTGTTTTAGTCAAGCTATGTCAAACATGTAACACCTAAACACAGAAGCAAAGAGAAACGGCTTGGTTGCAATACACAGGTAGAACAAGCAAAGAGTGGCGCATCTAAACGACCTGCTGGGTGCTATAATCATGTCAGAAGTTAGCATGCATTGCTGTTCGTTTAAAGACAACGTATAAACAAGTAACATTATTCCAGATACGGGAATGTTACCAGTTGTTTATCCTGCTAACATTAGCTTGAAGAAGCTACAAAGTGGATACGAATAAAATTCAAGGTGGCCTAAGTTTTCATACGGATCCTACATTAGCCTGCTGGCAGATAATAATATGTGTTTTTGTGATTAGCCCACCTGTAAATACTTTAAACAATCATAAAACGCTGATTTTCAAATGAATTAAAGTTGCTAACTGTAGTGAAACCAACCTGTCAAACACGAGGTGACGATATGCTGTTTCCGCACTGCAGCGACAAAAACAACACGACTTCCGGTTACTCCTTCAGAATAAAAAAATAGTTTCTTGGTTGCCATTCCTATTTACAGATTTAATTAGGCTAATTTATATGCTCACATCTGTTTTAAAGTCGGTTTTACTTTTAAAGACCAAGTTCTTATGGGAAATCTAGTAGGAGTTATGGGAAACAACTTGTTGTTTTCACTCCTATTAAAACGCTACAACTTCCGGTTATAGCTCCCCATTAACTATTCAGCAGAGGGCGCCGCAGTGTAATTTTTCGAGCCTCGAAAGAGAGCCCTAAACTAAATAACCATTCACCTTGAATGTGAACAGAAAGAGGCAGAATAAATGATTTTTAAGACGTCTTACAACCAAGAAAAAATAAAGACACTACGAAGGAAGATACATTTTAAACATTTTGTTCTCCTTTTAAGGGCTTTTGATTCCACAGTTGTTCATTGTTAATTTTACTGATGTTGGGAGGATTTTGTCCTAACATATTTATAATTTGTTAAAATATAGGTTTATATGAAGAATGGTGATAAAACGGTCTTCCTCTGTGTCATACAGTATTTCCTACTATGGTTGATAAACCTTTGGGCGTTTAAGTAACAGCTTAGACTATGTGTGAGGTAATTCTTAAAGCAAATACCTTATTCAATTGGGAGTGTGGAAAAGTCAAACCTAGAAATCTTTACTGCAAAAACAAACAAAAAATGTATTTCTCCTTACCAAATAACACCCATATCATAGCTTGTTTCTAGTGCTTACTAATACAATATGTTTATTAGTTGTGTTTTTGTTGTATCCAATAGTGGGAAGTTGAAGAGACGTGTAGGCGTGTGTTGATGTCATGGAACAAAAAGTCCTGCATAACAGATGGCAGCTTTTCACAGACAACATTAAAACAATCCTTAAAACTTTGCTCAAGACATGAGAGCAACTTTTTGCAAAATCCATGCATGCATTACCTCTGCCTCAGGGTTTCTGCTTTTCTTTCTTCTTTTTTTGTAAGTAATTCACGTGTCACCAGTGTAGGTAGGCCTGCTGAGATGCTTCTATCCTTACTTAACCTCAGCTGTAATAACATGCAATGTTTATAAGATAAACTTGCAAGAACGAGGAGAATATCCTCAAAGTAGTCAAGTATGATTAAAACCTGTGGGATCTTTTCTCAGTGTTGAATAGACAATGATTTGGTTTATTCTTCAAATCCCTCTCTTGGTGTGGTAATACCTGTTTGAATCAAAGTGACTTCTTAAGGAAGACCTCCTCAGCATATCAAAGAGATATCGCTTTCTCAGCTTGAGTGCCTGATGATTGATTGATAACAATGTAATTCAGCATCAGAGATTATCAGGGGCTGGGCACAGGATTCTAGACCCTGTATTTGTGTATTATTTCTCTTCGGGTCCCTTTCTGCAACCACAGCTATTATTTTTAATATCTATAGGGCCCGCTCCCCATGAGGTCCCTGATTCCCCTTTGCTCGCTAGTCCTTCACCACTGGGAGTATTTCAAGGACAACGGCAGATGTTGTCAGAGGCTTGTATTTGACTGACATGCATCGTCATAAATTTAAGCAAAAGCCATATATGTAGAGACTAATTGAAATGATCAGTTTTTATATTTATACATGTATTCATATTGCAATCACAGTCAATTTTACGATGTATCATAAACCTAATTACTTAATATAGTAGCTATATAGTTTTTGCATTTCTTCAAAACTGTTTTTGGAATGTAGCTTCTGTCATTTACATAGCAAGTCAGAAAATGTAATAAATTGTACTTTCAAAGTCAGACTCATGTCTCATTGTGTTCCTACTTTACTTATTTCATAGCTTTGTATTTCTGTAACTGTACAGAATACATATGGCTTAAGTATTGATTACAGGGCCTTGAACAAATGAGAAAGAATAGTGTTGCAAATCTGCTGCAACCTGTCATCAAAAGTAATGAATAAATACTTAAAAGTATTGCAGAATAACTGCAAGGATAAGAGAAGGAATACTGGAATGGATAGTTCACTTGCACACACCTATTTTAACAATTTCACAGTGCACACTCACCTCATACTCTCTTACTTTTACATAAATACACAAATGCAAATGTAACTTAAGAATTATTGTTTTTTGCCTTATTAGCTTTTCATCTATAGCAGTACCATACATGCACTCCCAATAACTATGCGCTTAATCAATTACTGCTAATTATACTTTGTGGATCAGTGCTACATGCCTGGCAGTACTGTAGAATCAGAACAGGAAAACTTGTCACATCACATGCTCCTATTTGAAGATTACTCAGTGTACGGTAGGGCAAAACTGTGTTTAAATCAAAGAGGTGCAATTACAGTATTAGCAATAAGGTAACACACACATCAATGCAAATATTACTCTTTGTGAAGAAGAAATATTAGGAATAAGCACCCTTAAGGACTTATGTGTGGTACTTTTCCTTAGTCTAAAGCATCTTGAAACTTCAGTTGAACATTGAGTTGACTCACTTTCAACTACAGTATAAAATAATCATGTGTGGTGAAGGGGGTAGGGCCATATCTATACATTAATAACAAGGTCAAGAAATTGAATTTGGTCAGTTAATAGTAATTTGAATTATCACCTCCAAACAGCTGTCTTTGTTCCACTTGTTTAGTGCAAAAACATACAAACAAAAAAATAGTCTCCATTAATTTACAGATTTACTAAGAGATTTATAGCTACTAAAGAACACGTGTAAAGTTTTCTATAACAGCATTCAGTTGTAGGCTGCATTTCTTCCCCTGTTTGCAATGAAGACTAGAGCAGTTCACACTCTTGCACCATAGAAAGGAGTTGTAAAAAGATCCAACAATAGATCTTTGTGTAATTTAACAGTGAAGTTGTACTTTCCCAGGCTTCCCCCAATAAGATGCTGGATATGAGAGATACAGTAGAGGTGAGGAGAGGAGGGCTGGTGGGAGGGATGCAGGGACTACAGAAAGGTTACCTTTCTTTTGCAAACACAAATAAGAGCAGATCCACCCTGCTGTCACTCTGTCCCTTCAGCAGCAGGCCTTTCTCAGTTACAGTTGGTGTGTCACAAGTGAAGTGTTTGCTCTCTCATGGCTTAACATGGCCTGGCAAGCAATGTAGACACACAGCAGGAACTATAAGATGCAGTGAGACACACAACACAGGAATAAACTCACTCTTTTCTCAGTCTCTCGCAACACTCACAGAACACAGACATTAACACACATTCTGCTTGAGGCTTTTAAAACTCCTTTGGGGCTTTACTCTATGTGTAAAGGTTAGTTAATGCTGTTTCAACTAATAGAAAATACATCCCCAAGCTAGCAAATAATTTAAACCTGATTTCTGAAGTTATTTGTGGGAAAGCTGCAGGTCAGATACCAGTAGGCCTACATCTGTGTGAATGGCTCTTATGGGGTTGAGAGGTTGGTGTAGAAATCTTCAACATCTCTGTATTGTTCAAATAATTTGGGTAGACTGCACATTGTTCCATCTAATATGTGCAATATAGTTTCATATCTTATACAATATTGTCTGTAATATTAGTAATGCTGGCAGCAGATTAACATGAGGCTCATGCTCACATTAAAGTGCTGTACACTTGATCACCTATTCAAAATCCAGCTGCAGTGTAATTGAAATGTTTGATAGGCACCAAAAGTACCTATAGTCAAGTAACAACAGCTAATGTTAGCTTTAACCTATAGCTAACATTGCGAGCTGTGGGAATATGGTGCTTATTAAGGTCAGTCAGAAGAAAAATTGTGAATATATCATTCATTGCAGTGTAACAAATATATTTAAAGCCATTATAAAGAAATTAAGATTTACAGGTCGGTACTGTTTTTTTAAAGTAAAGTATTGGTTAGTAATCTATCACAGTGGTTTTGCATATCGCTCCAAAAAGCCATTAAGGGTGATGTTTTTTGCACATTACAATATAGTCATAACTTTCTCATGTAGAAAGCAGTAACCTATAATAATTTTAAAAACATACATTTTAATGGGTATATTTTGATTTTATATAAAACCATCCTTTTTATTTGATAGAACTAGATTCACAAACTGTCAAAATGTGCTCCCTCCTGTCAACTTGAAATATAAAGCGCAGGACGTGTGCAGCAGATGGAACTGAAATGCAGAAAGCATCTCCAGTGTGTCAGTTTGCAGGTTTGAGTCACTCATTGTGCGTCAACAGCCTGTCTCCCCTGAACTGAGAAAAGTGAAAGTGACAGACAACAAACTGAGTCCCACAGACTGTTAGAAACAAAACAAAAAAAACAAAAACAAACAAACAATCACAGATGGCAGTTTCTATCAGAAAACACCCTCAGTCCTCGTCCTCACAGTGCTTTGAGAAGCCGCTTGTTTACATGATGTGAATTTCCACAAATTTCCAGTTTTAGATTTCCACGATATAAGAGTTCAATACATACAGTATTGTAGTATGTATACATATGTAACTCATTCAAACACAATATCAAGACAAATCTTGATCGGTAAGTTTTGCTTCACTGTCAAACATTAAGCACATAATGACCATTCATTATTCATTCATTATTTTGTGTTCCAAGTTCTGCTCAGCCATATTCCAAATGCATTTTAATTGAGTAGTCTTATGTGTGCTATAAAAACCTTTATGTCTTTTGTTTATTATAGATTTGTCCCTCAAGGCATTTGTAAAAAAAAAAGTATTTCAATTCAATATTTTAGCTTTCAAATTCATCTTTACTCATAGGCATCAGCTCTGTTGAAAGACAAACAAAGGCAGAATGAACACCTGATGCAGCAAGGGCATAAGGATATAGCCTACCTGTTTGCAATAAAGTTGATAGGAGAGAAGGAGGGTTTTCATGCTTATACACATTTGAAAATCAGTGGTGAGTGAAGTGTGTCACGCCTGAGCCCGGCCTGTCACCTCAACAAGTCTCTGATCTTTTACAACCTCTGCAGAAATGTACCACATCTGAACATACAGGTGAATGTAATCCAGAGGAGGAAAA